ACACCCTCGGCCAAAGGCAGGGCTCAGCTGCCTGAAGCCCCTTGACCCTTGCAAAAGAAAGGGTTGGGGCACTCAAGCCTTCACGTAGCCCTGGCTCTTCCCAATTCACCTACATGCAGACTAGCCCATCCCACAAAGACTGATCTCCACGACGTGGCAACACAACCAGCACCCTGCTTTTGATTTTAAGATCACCTTGACAGAGAGGATGTTACTTCTGTGAAATGGAGCATGAAGACAAGAGAGGTAATCCAGATGGCCAGAAGTCAAGTGGTCTTTTTGGGACTGGTTTCCCCAGTGTCACTTAGGGCAGCCCTGCTCATTTTGTGCTCTCATCTGCCAACTGAACTGCCACATTCAGGCTGCATTATGCTAGACAGAGAAGCCAATCTAGTGTAGCACAGCTTTATCAATAGCTTTGGATTCTAAAGGGTGAAAGCATTAAATGGGGAGATATCACAGCTCCAAGACAGAAGAGAAAGGACAACGAAGTGGAACGTGACAGTATTACAATTTACTTCAAAAGGCTGTGTATCTGATGAGTTGTTTTGGAGCCAAATTACCCAGCTCTTAAAGAGCTGCCTTAGTGACAGCATGGTGACACTACAGACAGAGCTGCATCATTTGTGAAAAGATCCTCATAGTACTGATGAGTCACAGCTTCTCACAGAATCGCAGACTTTATGATCCCATGTGACACACTGCTTTAAGATGTCTCCTCCTGACCTCCATCCCCACTGCACACTCCTAGCTTGCAATAAGTGACAACCCACTCATTTGAAATCAGCCTGCTAATAAAATAAATCAGTGCACTTGCACGACTTTCATACTATCAAAAAAAAAAAATAAAGACTGTACAATGACAAGTGATTGGTTTAATTCATACACTTAACTGTACGTTTCAAACACTGATATCTATTCTTTATAAGCCTTTCACATGGATACTTACTTTACATGGCATTACTTTACCCCTGTGCAAGGTGAGGCTCCCCTGTCTTCCCCTCAAAATCTGACGAATGTTGTTGTCATTATCTCAGGGGTTGAGAATACCAGACAATTTCTAGCTCTCATGTGATGGCACCACCATTCTTCAGTTATCACAGTACTGTACCTTTCACGTATACAGCACCGGTACCATGATAACCGAAAAAGGACAGTTCACAGTCTTATTATTTGATGCCATTGTCAAATAAAAAACCCTTCCTCCATTTGACTAAATGAAAACTGCTCAGTCTCCAGGAATAACTGATACAGTCAATTACTTGTCAGTCTGATAGAACAAGTGAAATTTTTGGTACTGGAACCATTATGAACCAAAGATAAAGCTTTAATAAAAATTGAGACTGAAGGACTACACAGAAGTCTGCTAGGGCTAAAGATCTGGGATTGCACATAGCTCCATGACTTGAACTCTCAAGCTGTTTCCTATGAACAATCACAGCTTTAGCATTTGGCTAGACATTTGAAACATGCCTTTTAATACCACAGATACAGAGAGATACACAGTAGTGTACACTAAGCAACAAAAAGCAAACTGATGTACACATACAATCCAAGACCAAGAACCAACAATAAAACCCATCTCTGCAATTCTCAGAACCAGCAATAATACAGAACAGCAAGGGAATCATCTTCTAATGTGTAGAAATAAACACCAGGCAACTTACACCGCTTGTCTCATTTGATGATAGGTACCAGTTGTTCTATTCATAGCCACAAGTACAATCTTCCATATACAAAAAAATAGCTGTGCAATAACACTAGACATTAAACAAGACTGGGTAATTAAACCAAAAAAAACAGCTTACGTGTATGGAGACAGAGGTCCTAGCAGGACTTTGGAAACATCCCGTTGTCCAAGGGTCATGAGAAGAAGAGCAAGGCTCTGATTTGTTGAATCTACACAGCCTCCCTGCAAACCAAAATGTTTCAATAATTAACCTCTGTACAAATCAGAAACTGGGATGAGCTGAGAGTAATGAGAAAGAAAAATACACTTAAAAGGGTGAATTATCACCCCAATTTTTTAAGCATCAGAAAGATAAAAATCTAGATTTTGTAATAATGACAAATTCATTTCACATGGCAGGCTGGGGAAAGAACGCAGCTAAACTGAAATCCATTAACAAGCTCACATAAAAGATCCCTCCCATCTCTCCCAACCTGTTCTCTTCTAACATCACAGAATATAAGCACTGAAGAATTCATATGCAGTAAATTGAAAATAGGCATTAATTATAGTTCATGTGCTTTTGAAGACACTGTGAATGACAGCACTTTATGATAACTATATAGCTACATTCAAACAAATTGTTCAGTGTTAGTAGGCGCAAACCAGCAAGTTAGAAATTGTTTCAAACACGTTCACCTAAGCCCTTCCTGCTAACTTTTCTGGTTTTACGTATGTAAAACATTTTCCCCCTCATATTTAAAATGGGAATTTTTTTTTTTTAACTGCTATGGGAAAGAGCCACCCATAAAAGTATGTAGAACTACACATGCTCTTGTACATATATGACTGTAGTAAGTCATATATGCATGGTAAATGGTTTTCTACGAGAAAGATGTTAACTATGATGGATATGAACATTAGAACCAGAATGCTTTCTTTGTTTACAAACCTTGAATGCAAGTTAAAAAGGATACTTGGAGCCAAAACTGCTGGAGACAGAATTTATCAGCTACAATGAAGCAAACTTTGAAAACAGAAAATATATCTGGCGTAACATTATTGCTGACTGTTCTCATATTCACCCTGATTGACAGCCACATGCAATCTGAGACCAGTTCCCTGCTGGTTCAGGCGTAATGCTAAGTCCTTTGAACAGGCTCTCTGCAGACAGAAAAACTAAAAATTCATCCTTTTAAAAACAAATTCCCTAAAGAGGGAAACTGACAGTTACCTCTGCAAGCAAGAAGTAACCTGTCAATGTTTTAACAGATAGCACGATCAAAAAAGGCAAGAGAGGGTCAAAATATATTTTGAAATGACAGATCAAGAAAACAAAAGGGGTCTGTACTTGTTTGTGACATTTCTATGAGATAAGAACCCTGGGCTAGAAAGGGACAGTCCTCTAGCAACACAGTGCATATATTGATTAAACAAAGACGAAATACTGGAAGACTGGAGTAAGTGGGAAGTTGGTAATTCAGACAGATGAAGGTTTTGCAGCAGGGAAAGGAAAAGATAACATGGGCACAGATAAGCAACCTGCCACAGTCATGGATAGGATTTATACTGTTAAAGTGTAGTTGTAGATTTACTACATTGCCTAATACAGAATCTCACTAATGGCATTTTTAATACTTCACAAAGTCCTATTAAGTTAGTCCAGTTTAGAGCAATTACTTTTTTTTAAACAGTGAGGACAATTTGTGTATGACTGCCTCCTAATGGCCAAATGTGGTTATGAACTGCTAACTTTAACGTTTGTTGAGATACACCACAAAAGCACCCAGATTCTTTATTAAATCATAAACTCGCAATGATGGTAAATGCCAAATCATCTGTAAGACTGAAAGCTGCTTATCCACTAAAACTCTTCAGCACTAATGAAAAACGTTTTAATAATAATTTTAAAACTATGCTGTGGAAGCCTGCTACACAAGATTCCTATGCAAACACTGTCCCAGCTCCTTTCCAACAAACCACTCGGTCAATTCCTCATACAACCAACAGATCTTGGCACATTTGACTTTGTCATTATCACCATAAAGCAGGCAGCATTGAATCTAGCTGCTTTCTTCCCCCTTTCTTCTTCATCGTATGTTTTCCTGCTCCTAATGCCCCATTCGAACCACTAGTTTAAGAGCCCTCAACTTGTTATTAAAAAAAAACAGTAACGGGCCATGTGAAGCCAACGGAATTCTGCTGCAGACAAAAAGCAAGAAAAGAAACATTTGCCACTGCTATGACTCATAGTGACCTCTCCTGGACACAGGAAATAACATGGTCCAGTATGTCATTACACTGTTAACGGAATAACTGAAAACCATTCCTTACCTGGATGAAGAAGACACTGGTAGCATCAGATCATTTCTCAGTACGGATATGAAGCTGTCTGAGGGTGCCCCCAATCCACCTCCTCCTCTACCAATATATTATCTTCTTCCCCTACAGCTATACACACAAAATACACTAGCCACTTACCCTGTAGATCTCATCAAGCAACAGCTTGGCACAGTTCTGGCCCAGTTCCTCAGGAAGCACAGGTGCTCCCTGGCCTTGAGGGTTTGAGGCGAGCTCAGCACTAAGAATAGTTCCATTGATGGTTTCTGCAGTAAGGCACATGCCAAAACCTGGTGACCTGAAAGAATGGGAAAAAGTGTATTTGATTTACGGACAAAAAATGAGCAATGAGCCAAGAACTACTCGCAGCTCATCTTCTCTCATAGGACAATACTGGGGATGTGAACTTGCTGACAAATTTCCTGTTCTATACATTTGATTCACCTCAGACAAAATATTAACAACAGTATTTAAAAGCTAAGCCCAGTGCCACTTGCACCAAACCCACTGTGCTGACTATTCCTGGCACAAACTCTTTAAAGGGAAAGAAGAAAACAAAACAAAACATCCAAACCTCAGAAATACCCTCCTCTATTATAAAAACCATTATCTTTCACATGTATTAAACCTATGCTTGATGAACATTTCAAAGGTATCTGTAGTTTTTTCTTTGTGGCATTCAAAAACAAAACTGATTTTCTTTAGGGACTGAGCTCTTTCCCTTTAAGTTTCAATATTAAGCAAGATTAGACTATAGCCATGGCACGAAGCAGGAGAACAGAAAAAAGTTTGATCCACATTTTCTGTACTCCTATAGCTTCTTTTCACTTTCAGTTCAGTATCACCCAAATCATTACAACCACATAAGAATTCTGAACATATGGTCTGAACAAAGAAAAAACTCCTCTGTTTTCCTTGGAGCTTAAAATCTTACCAAACACTATAGGGAGAGTTAAGAAACACTTTTCCTACAAGAAAAGTGACAGATGGCTGAGTACAGCTTGCTGAGAAATCAAAAAGTTCTAAGGATTGAAAAAAAAAAAAACCTGTCACAAGATCCTCCTGTTTATAGGCTCTGGAAGAGCATCAATGCTAGCCATTCAAAATAAGGTTCACTGTAGTCCATATACAGATTTTCCAGATTGCTGGATTCTTATTGCCTCCACCACCTAAACTTCTTAATTGAAATAGTCCTACTAGCCCAAAACTGCAAGGAATGTCACCATCATCCACAGACCATAAAAACACACTCCAAACACAAATACACACAAGCTCTCTCAGTGCCAGAAAAACAACAGTTCATCCAGAGGCATTTTGGTAGGGCAGGAACAAAAAGCTATCAGTGATTACCACCCATATTTAAATGCCTGCACTTGCTGAGCAACACAGAAAGTATGCTAAAGATGTTTATATTCCCTTCTCTTGTCCTTCCTCTGAAAGAGGAAGAGATCTAGACAGCAAGACAACAACAGTATGAAAGATGTTATTTTTTGGACAAGCATCCCTCAACAGCTATAACCCCTGGCAGATTTTGCTACTGTTCAGTAGCAGACAGCAATTTACCTAAATAAAAATTAAATTCACCCAGTGCCTTATTTATGTGCACATAGCATTAGAAAACATCTGCACAGACAAACTTTTTGCTGCAAATGCACAAAACAGAACCACGAAGTCTTTGGTTAGAGAGACATTGGAAGTGGAAGAAGTTGCTCAAATAATGTATTTCCTGAAGCTTTTGGCATTGTAGAAGGGATATATTGTTCAACACTTTATATTTTGAAATCAAGGCTTGGTTTGGGCTGGGCACGAAGGGGCTGAACTAGTCCTTGCTGGTCTCCCTCATCATCACAGGCAGCACTGGAAACAATGAGGCATGTTGCTTTCCTTCCCCGTGCTGCCAAGACACACACACAAGCACTGGGAACCAGGTAAAAAAACAGCTGTGCCAAAATGGAACTAAGTTAGTATCAGGTATACAGCAATCATACTGGTGCTGTGCGTATGCTGAATGTGGCAGCAACGCAGCATCAAGCCCCAGGCACCATCAAGGTGGAGGGAGAGGGTTCAGTTCCTCTTCCCATGCTATTGTTTATCCCCCTGCATGGGCTACCCATGCAAGCAGTAAACGTTAACAATGCTGTCCCAATTCATTTGACCTTTTGACTTTACAAACAGACAAAACCAAAACAAGACCCCAGAGCACACAGCTCCCAGAAAAGTTTTTTCAATTCTGATCACTGTTAACAGTTTGGAGCCGCAAGACTTGCTAACCGGGGATATTAAATATGATGAAGGATTGCAAAAGAGGGAAAATACTTAAAAGTCAGTCAACAATTTTTAGATTTGTAAATCTGTAAAACTAACAAGTGTTCTTTAAGGTAATATTTCAAAAAGGAGAAACAGTCAAAGACAGTATCCATGTTCAGATTTGAGCATACAGACTGAAGACAAATGTTATCTAGAACTCCTTCACCCTCAATGAAAAGTGACAAGAGGACAACAAAGATGATAAATATCCATAAAATTGTCTGAATCACATTCATCACTTCTGTGTTCTGCTAGCAACAAAATCTGTGGAAATACAGTAAATTTATGTCTCAGTTTTCCAGTCCTTGCTGGCAAAAGGACACTCCTTCAACTGTTTATGTAATGGTAAAACAGAAGACAATCCATACAGCTCAAACACTTTCTAAACCAGTTTGGTCCCATCCTTAATACTACCATTTACATCAGAAGTTGTACAATCAAGTTTGAATGATGGTTTTCACAAAATACCACGCCACCTCTTAACTCAAACTCACTTCAAAGCAAGAGGTTTAAAACTGAAGAAAGCTCAAGTTGCCTTGAGTGGCAGTGATGATGTATTGCATTCCTTGTTTAAGGAAACACAACTTCTATCCCTGTACCATAAGTAAAACAAATGGCTCTAGTGATCCTTCAGTTTTTTCCCTGTAAGGAATATTTAGTTGAAGTCAGCAAAATAGAATATCATGGTCTAAAACTCAATAAAATTACAGACCAGAATGCCCTAGCAGATGAACAAATGCAGAATGACTTTTCTGTTCCCTGTGAATACTAGATACTCACTTTCCAGAGCTGACCCCTTTCATATGATCTGTGTAGATATAAATGTCTGGGAGGAATTTATTCAGGATGCTCCTTGCAGATTCCACCATTCTATTCGCCATCTGTGGTGACACTCTCACAGAGTACCTATGTTTCCGAGCTAAGGAATTGTGGTCATGAAAGAAACTTAAACCAGAGACTGACGAAAGTGTCCAAGAGGTCCCCATTTATTATTTCAGAAAGCGTGCTTGTCCTATACAAGGATTCATGAGTGCCGATCCACTTGCCTTACTTAGAGAAGCATGTATGTGTAAGTGCCTTCTACAGTCTTTTCACTGATACACCTCAAACTGCAGTACACAGAACGTGTGCAGAACAGCTTATTATGGCTAGGTGTCCTGGTTTGGGGTAAACAGAGCTGGTTCTGCTCTGTGATTTTACTTTTTAGCTAAAGTTCTTCTAATTAACTGCTCTGAGTTAGCAGCGTTTTCATAAACTATCTGGCTGTAGCAGTGATAACACTCCATGTTTAGAGTGACTGCCAGGGGTTGGTGTGCAGACCAAGGCCACTGCTAAGCTTGGATCCCACAAGGAGGGGAGCAGAGAGCACCCCACACCTGCGGGGACGAGCAGACAGAATAACTGACCCCAAGATTCACCAGTGGGGTGTTCCATGCCACAGCTGGCATATCCAGTAGAAGATGGAGGATCAGGAGGGGGGAGGTTCGGGGGGGGCTGCCTTTCTGCCCCCCCTGCCGTTCTTCTTCTCTTCCGTCTCGTGCTGCTAGGCTGCTGCTGCTGCAGTGGACAGCATCTGAGGAGGAATTCATCCATCCTGCCTTTTATCTCAACTCCTATGCTCCTGAACTGAGTTCCAGAATCCAGTTCCTGTGCCCTGTTGCTGTCTGTGGCAGAGTCCAACCTGGAACCCTCTCCCTGGGGGGCTTCTACCCAGCCAGGAGTGATGGCGACATATTGCCATTGGTGGGAGTTCGGTTCGGAACTAACATTGTATATCTGTATATATTTGTACATAGCCTAATTTATTATCATTATTACTATTATTACTAGTGGTAGTATTAAAACTGGTTTTTCTAATCAACAAGTCTCTCTCTCTCTCTTATTCCTTTTCCCTTTCGGGGATGGGGAGAGGGGAGAGAGTGTCTGTTACGGTTCTGGGGACTGCCCTGACCCCAAACCGCGGCACAAACATCTGCCCTAAAAATGCCCTTCAATAGTTCCAAATTGTTATTCTGTCATCCTGTGCTTTCTTATGACAGAGGAAGTCCTGTGTGCTCTGTTCTTCATATACTACAAAAAGATAGGGAAGGGTAAAGCTTCTCTGAATTAGCAGCCAGAAAGTCTGTCTTAACTATCTAGTATCAGGGAGAAATTGGGTAGATTAAATTAAAGACAAATGTTTTAACAAAAGAAAAAATAATTTTAAAAGGCTAAAAATATCTTTGGTCTCTCCAACTATTTTGCAGTGCTGTGAGGCTATCAAGTTAATTGGTTCTCTAGTCACTCAGCTTCTGAAGACAATGGTCCCCAGGGAAGAAGAAATTCAAACCTTGCTGCCCACCCCAACACACCTCCCCACATGACACAAAAGATGAACTGCCTTTGTGCTCTTTTACTCTGGTGCTGCTTCAGTGATATTCCCAACAAATTCTCAAATGCACAAAGCACACTGTGCTCCACATTCCATCCAAACTATAACAGACTCAGGCTCTGCACATTTAACCACCCATCTGTACTTAGGTGCATATAACGATACAGAGAAACACATTCTCAAACACCTCAGCTGGCCAACGGGAATCTCCTTTTCTACAAATTTCTACTGCATTCTTTTGTGGCATATGTAAACCAAAAGCTTTAAGATCTTTTAAGGCCAAATCAGTAAATAGTAATTCTGCAGTTGGTGCACTTGGTATTTTGGATGACTGTAAAAGGTTGCTGCAACACAAGTGCCCCAGCTGCAAGGAAACCAATTTGCTCAGTTGAATCTTGAAGGGACAAAAATGCACATGTAAAAGATTTAAGCACTAATCCTTCCAGGTGTTTTGTTTTCTACCATCTTGAAGGACTACTTAATGGCAAAAGTGAAATGACAGTGCCTCACCAGGCTTACTAAAGGCAAACCTGAGAAAAAAAACTAGGAAAACCTAAAGGAAAGTAGAGGTTCAAAAACCTGCAGTTGACATACATGGACCAAAACCAGTCAAAGTGGTCCAGAATGGTGCTGTGTGTTAACACCAATCTAGAAAGATGTCACTAAAGCCATGATCATCGCCTCCTCCTTCACACAGCATCAGAGCTGGCATTGCTGCACTCATCCAAATCCCACAGCTGGAAACAGCAGTCCAAGTGCCCTGTTCTCACACGCGATTATGATAGTACGACATAAAGTGAAATGAGGAACAGGCTGGAAGTCCTCACCTCTGGCAGGAAACTGCTGCCATTCCTG